ACACTGATTGTTTGACTCCCTGCCCAGATATGCCTTGTTGGTAGTTATTGTTGCTGTTGTTGTTGTTGTTTGAATTTATATACCTCCCCACTGTGCCAGAGCACTCTCTCGGCAGTGCACAACATAATTATGCAGACATCAGCTTGTCCCACGTCAAGCTGGGTACTCATGGAAGGCTGAGTCAATACTGAGTCAACACTGAGCCAGTTACCTGACCTTGTTGGGATTGAACTCAGGTTATGAGCAGAGGCTTGACAGCAGTACTGCAGTTTAACCACTCTGCCATGGAGCTTGCAGTCAAAATACCCCATTGGTGGTGGTTATGAATCTTCACAATCACCCCGAGAGCTGTTAATTTCATATTTTTAAGCTGGGTCTGAGAAACATGTGGTTACCCAAGTGCTAGCAATTAAGCATTGCTCTTCTGGTTCTGTATATCATCCTGAGCACAGGATTGGCCCTAACTGTAGAGTACGGGTGGGTGATCTCCAGAGATCCAAGAGCCACGTGCATCCCTCTCTGGACTTTCAGGGGCTCTTCATGTGGCTGGTAGCTCATCTTTTTTCACACAAGAGGTTTTCCCCACCACTGCCAGCTAGGAGAAGCCCCTTTGTGCCCTCTAGTGGCCAATTACAAATTTTAAAAATTTTTAAAAAATTGCTAAACTTACAAAGGGAGTGTCCTGATCCCCTCCCCACAAATCCTGGAGGACAGAATGGGTGGGGTAAACATTTTTGGAGAGGGAAGGTGCTGGGGAAGCCATAGGCTGCCCACCCTTGCTGCACCGGTTGCTGAATGACTCTGCACCATCTTATCCCTTTTTCCTTTCTTCTGTCAGTTTTAGGAGACCCGTCCCAGCCCGTTTCCCAGCCCATAATGATGGGACAAGAACCTTCAGGGTTCTGAAAAAATTGCTCACTTACTCTGCAGCGCACCTCATTCTTCTTCCATGGGAACGTAATCGTCCAGTGTGATGAAAATATAACCGGAGCAGTAGCTGCTGCATTGGGTGTAGAATACAGCTCAGGGAAAAAAAGACCTGAGCTGGCTGTTCCTTTCAGGCCCCTTCGGTTGTGAGGAGGGACAGCTGAAGTAGACACTTAAGATGCCAACAGCATGGGGAGGGTTTTTGGCCCGATGGTACCCAGTGGGTAGGGCAGGCCAAATGGCATTCCTGTTCCAATGATAAGTGAGCAACGGAGTTATAATTATAAGATATAAGAATGTCCACCGTGAGGAGGCTGTCCAACACCAATCACTGGTATGGCTTAATGTGGGAGTGGAGCATGATTTCCACAAGGATGGATTCTTGAGGATGTTTGGCATTCACAGAGAGCGTACATTTCTTTGCCAAAATTTTTGCTGCTGGGTTGCCCGACTGCTCCTTGAGAGCCCAGCAGCCATCACACCCCTTGTTTCTGGAGATCACGGGGGAGTCGTTCAGCCTTCCACTCTGCCCTGCCTATTAAAGGTGGTCATTTTCCTGACTCTTGATTTGATCTCTTATTATGGGGTGAAAGAGAAGCAGGATAGGAGTCTGTGGTCTTGTTGGGGTTGCTGATTCTTCCTCATGTTGCCGCAGACCTAATCTGACCCTTGAGAATGTCAACAGGTTGGCAGGAGGCATTGCAGTGAGTTCATCAAGACACTGTTCCTGGATAGGCGGTTGCATGTGACATGTCTAAAATTCACAACTGAGTTCCAACCAAAAGAGGGGCCGCCATTATTTTACAGTTTTCTTGGTTGCATGCATCTGGACAGAAGCTCTATCTTGTAAGACTGAGAGAGCTCCTCTTGTCTTTCCGTTAGAAGACACTGCCTAATGGTAGCACTGTATGCAGTAGAATAAGTAGAATTGTATGTTACTCTTGTGTCAGTGTAGCTTTGTGTGCTACTTGTCTGTAGTCCCTCCCTTCGCCCCCTTGTGCTCATAGTATCTATGCCCTGTATATTTTTGTACTTCCTTCCCTCCTATGCTAATGTTTAATGATTTTCTTTTTCCAGTATGACAGATTAAACCTGATCAAAGTAAGAATGTAACTCTCTCTTGTTTTCTTTGATTTCCCTCCCACTGGTCCTTCAGATCTTCCTATAGCTTGCCACCCTGTCTTTCAAATTGTTATTTCAAGCAAAGCTAAGCTCAGGTTAGAATGTCCCATGTCGGGTGGGAGTGTGGGTGATAGAGATTATCTGTGTTCAAAGAATATTCTGGCAAGTGTGTGAAGCACCTTCCTTAGAACTCTGGAACTACTTCCTCCACTTTTCCTGGGTCTCACTTTATTCCCCTTCTAATCAGCTGCTGCTGCTGCTGCTTTTAGGATTTTGCTGTTTCCTTTCCCTGTACAGAAGATACTCCAATTTTCTAATTATTTTAGTTGCCCTGTTCTGTGTCCTCCCCTGTTCTATTGTATTATTCTTGAGATGGGCTGACCAGAATGGTGTGTGATATTCTAAACACGGTCACTTGTAGGTACTTGTTTAATATACCGTATTTTCCACGTATAAGATGCCCCCATGTATAAGACACCCCACATTTTTCTAACCCAAAATTAAGAAATCTAAGTGGGGCTTAGCAAGTGGAGGGGAAAGCAGGGATCAAAGCCCTGCGGGATCACTTTGATCCCTGCTTTCCCCTCCACTTATTTTTGTTTTTTCCTCAGCTTACTTCTGTGTATAAGACGACCCTCAATTTTTAGTCTAAAGATTTTAGACAAAAGTATAGTCTTATACATGGAAAAATATGGTAAGTGATATTTGTGGTATTATTTCCAACACAAGGACATCTGGTGTGGCTGTCAGTGTTAAAATGTGCTGCTTTTAAAAAGTAATCCTAAGGCAAAATAAAGTGTACTTGAAAAGATTTCCTATGTCATCATACACAGAACAATTCACCATGGATCATATGGACAAGCAGCAGGAACACATCCAGTTAAAGCCATTGAGTTAGTGGATGGTGCTGTGCCAGCCAGGAGCAAGAAGGCATTTCCATGCTCCTCTGCCTCTTGGTGGAATGCCCTCCAGTTGAGGGTGGCAAGACAAAGCTCTTGAGGGAGGGAATTCAAAATTATTGTGGTAGCCATTAAAGTCCCTTTTCTTAAGTTCTCCTGAGAGGCAAAAGTGGACGGGTTGTAATTTCTGAACTCTTCTCAAAGGCGGCAGCTCTACGTCAAGCACACTGCAATGGTCCAGACCACAGATGACCAGGGCATGTTACACCACCGCCAAGTCTGGTAATAGCAGGGAAAGGACAAAGTCAGTGGAGGAGCCAAAGCAAATTCACTCCTGGCATCAACCATTGCTTACTGTATGCATCTGAAGTCCGAGCAGAGCCTAGGAGAACTCCCAGCCTGCAAGCCTGCTCATGAGGGGGCTGTGGTAGATGCAGTTTCATAAATCCCTCCACTAACCATTCCTGAAATTGAATTTACCTTTCCCATCCCACTTCTTTCCCAGTGCTGCTGCATCTTTGGCCTTTTTCAAAATGTGTTTCAGGCAGAATGAAACTATAGCTCAGGACATCTAGAAAGAGAAAGAGTCTCTCGAGCCATAAAGACTCTGACTTCAATGCTTCTACATGGTCACATAAAGAGGCAGAAATATGGTCTTCCTGTTGAACTTCCTAATGCCAACCTCTGTAGCACTGTACCCTCTAGATGTCTCTGGACTCCCGACTCCAGCACACCAGCGAGGGCTCCAGGCAGGTCTGGTCCAGGGCTCTGGAGGGGCTCAAGGCTGGGATGGAATATCAAGACCAGTGTGAAAGTTGTAGTTGGCCGTGTTTCTTTGTCTGCAGAGTCTGCCGCAAACTGCACTGTCCAGGGATCTCGCAAATAAGGTCAATGACCTTGCTGTTGCGGAACGGGAATGACACAATTTAAGCCTAGGTAAACAAAGAAGTGCAAATTAGGTACTGAACGTTTGCCTCTTAACATGGCAGAACTGTAGGCCTTTGTGTCTGCTTGTGCATTTGTTGAGAGGTAGGCTAGTTCAGTGCTCTGGATCGAACATTAAATTTTAAGGGTGTTTTGTCCTGTTCTATTCCTTTTAATCTGGGGATGTGGTGGCGCTGCGGGCTAAACTGCAGAAGCCTGTGCTGCAGGGTCAGAAGACCAGCAGTCGTAAGATCGAATCCATGCGACGGAGTGAACGCCCGTCTCTTGTCCCATGCGAGTAGATAAATAGGGACCACCTCGGTGGGAGGGGAACAGCGTTCCGTGACTAAGTCGCACTGGCCATGTGACCACGGAAGATTGTCTTCGGACAAAACGCTGGCTGTATGGCTTGGAAACGGGGATGAGCACCGCCGCTAGAGTCGGACACGACTGGACAAAAATTGTCAAGGGGAACCTTTACCTTTTATTCCTTTTAAAACACGTTCTGGAGCTTTAGTCTGCTAAAGCAGATAAGAGCTCTGAAATGCTTGTTAACAGCTCTCGAATCAAGCCTGTAAAGCAAGCACAGATTCTGAGTGTCCTGTCTTTGCGGTATTTTGAATATTTAAAAAACCAAGATGGGAGAATTGTCCTAGACTGCAGTGGAGACCACACCTTCTAACTTTGAAATGCCTGGGTCTGGACAGGCGGGTTGATTTTGGTTATGGTCTCCGTCCCTGTCATGGAAAGGTGGTGAATTGGTTGTGAACTCTTAAGAAGATAGCGGCTCAATCATGGTTTGGCATTTCCAGGTTAGAAGTGACACAAGAGTATAAATGTTAATGTCAGACTCTTGTGTTGCTGGAGTATTTTTCTACACAGACAGTTATTTGTGATTAGTGTTTGTTCCAGTTTGGCCTTTTTTTGGGTGAACATGTAAACTTTTATTCCAGAACCCTTCACGTTCCATTTTGTCTCTAACCTCATCCCCTCTGTTTTTGTGGCTATTACCAAAATTTTGCATAATGCTTATGAAATCCTTTCTCTGCATTCCTCCCCCCTTTTTTTGCTCTAGTACCAAAACCTCCATACTAACTTATTCTTTTTTTTTTTATTTTGTCCTTACAGAAAAGCCAGAGTTGGTACAATGTAAGTATTTCTGTTTCCTTCATCCCTGGATGCATGAAGAGTGGGAGGGAAGGAGAGAGAGAGGTGGGCTGAGTGAAAGGAGACCTGGCAGTTTTGTTGGGCTTCCAAAGTCTAAATCAAGGCGTTTGGGGAAATCTTGAACCCAGCCAAAGCTCCCTCTTTTTAGAAGAGTGTGTCTTTGCAGATCAGGCTAGGCAGTCACAGATTTTTCTTCTGCCTATAAAGCAAAAGAAAAGAGGGGGGGATTTTATGTTGCCAGGATAAACAGGAAGCCAAAGACATAAATGGGTTGCTATGTTTGAAGACAGAAGGCACTCTCTTTTTTTGCAGAACTTGCAATATTCTGTTCTGTTTTCTTCCTTGATTCTTTACCTCCCTCTTGTAGATAAGAATATAGGATTGACTTCCAAGCTAAAACGCCACTTCTTTATAGCTTTCGGAGGTATAAATAAAGCATCTCCATTTTGTCTTCCTTCTGTTTTGTCTGCCTCCTTGAGTTGAACTCTGTGTGGGTCTGAAGTGCATATTTGAGGGCCCAAACCCTATAATGTTCTTATGCCATCACAACACAATCAGAAGAAGCCAATTGTCATGAGTTTAATGTAGGCATTTGCTGTTATGCAGAAGCTTTTGAATCTTTGCCCTGTAATGAACAGGTGTCCTTTTTTGGAGGTAGACACAGTATTTTGGCTCTAAATTGGTTACGTCTGCTTAATGTATTGTTGTAGTTACATGTGGGACCTCCTATTTCAGTTTAATAAACCAGGATCAGAATTCACATTTTGGTTCCCTGCTCAATGCCATCATTCCTCCTTTCATCAAATAACCATGTTTCTGCATATTTATTTAACAACCTGGTACTTTCTGTAGCCAGTAAACTAAGCATGGAAAAAAATCATGATTAATTACCAATTAATGGGTTTCATAGATTGCACTGTGAAAGGAAGAGCAAAGGTGCCCTCACAGAAAGTATATTCATATCTCAGTTTCGTAACTTCACCTTTCACAGTCTATACCAGCTGTTCATGTTCTCCATCTTGCACCCGATTCCCTGGATGGGTGGCTTAATTTCATGTAGGACAGACTCTTACCTTATGAAGATGCCTTCTCTTTTTGAATGCCTTCTAGCATTCTAGTCCCACACTTCATCTTTGGGCCATACAGATGAAGGGGAAGAAATGATGCACAGTTGACTGGGTGTGGAGATAGGTAGGCAGGAAGAAAGAATGAAAGAAGGTGGGAAGAAAGGAAAGAAGGAAGTAAAGTTTGCCTCTCTATGAACACATGTGATGTCTGAAAGATTTAATGTGAGGTGCTATTCAGTTACTTGCTTGGTTATAAGCAAACACATGCCTTTAAATTTCTGGAAAACAGTGCCTATGTAGACAGGATTGGGACACTGGTTCTCCTGGGCTGAGATACCTGGCCACTTCCCTCAGTTGACCTCACAGTGCCTCCCACCTGCTTCTTCTGAGAAAAAAGGTATCCGAAAGACCACTCTCTTTGCAGAAACAAGTCTAAGAGATGTCCGTCCCTCGATTTGATTAACATGAAGGGATCCTCACTGAGGGAGGAATCTCTGGACCCACCTAATAAGAGACCCCCATTCTCTTTAAAGAAAAATTGAACGCTGGACTCCAGATGGTTCTTTGGTTGCTTCTGGGGGGGGGGGACTGGGCCACGTTATGTCTATGTGGGTCCACCATCACAGAATTTTTTCTTTCTAATATCCAAAAATAGAATTAGATGGATTAGAATGGGTAGGATAGAATACATCACACCTTAACATATGTGTGATTTGTTACAACTTAGATTATAACATTCATGCTTTCATTTGATGCATTTAAAAATGGGATCTCTTAAAATGATATGGAACTCAGTAGCATGTATTTCACTTGCATTTAGATCTGCAATGTGCCAGATTGCCACCAAGTGCAGGGTTAGGCCTTTGCCAGTGGAGGTATAAACAGCACAAGTGCTTTCTGCATGTCGGTCTCGGTACATATTTCAAAAGCCCCTGTTTGGAAGGCATTGTCATGTCAAAACTGGCCATGTGAATAGCAAGTAAGACACCCAGAGAAACCTGAGTTCTTGAGAGGACAAGAGAAGCGGGTGTAGTTTTTAATAATAACAGCTTCCCCCCCTACCCTCAATTTTGTCCAAAGGGTGCTTGCATGACTGCCTGGTTTGCATGACCTTAAGCATTCATGGCTCGCATGCATGTCTATGAGTAACTTGTTGGAGTGTCCTTGTTGTTTTATTTCTGTTCTCTTGTGTTTTTTTTTCCTCCCTTATGTATTTTCAGCATGAGAGACAACACATCCGGAGAGTAAGCACTGTCTGTGTAATTTATTCTAGTTATCCTAGAACTCTTCACTGGTTGAAAACCACAATGCTGGGATAGGTCTGGTTCCCCAATACCTGAAATTTTAAAGTGCCTCTATTTATTGCTGTATCAGCTCTTGGTGTTTGGCTTATTATGAATTATACTTTGTATAACAAACTTACTGCACAGTGGATGCACCAAACTGTGTAGCAAACTATACATTAAGAGAGAGAAATGTTTCATTCTATTCCATAAACATGTCTGGAGTTTATGCTCCCTACAGATGGTATGTTTCCATCACTGCAAGAAAAGCTGTGTGAATGGATTGTGCACAAGTCCTTAACACTTGTGTATTAGAAGGCTTCAAACATTCCCAAACAAGACCCAAACGCTTCAGCTTCTTTTCAAGCACCTGTTGTCTAGTAGATGGGGAGACACCGGTCCTATTTCTGCAGGTTTTCATTGGTCTTCTTGTTTCTCTCCAACCTTCTGTGCTGATGTTACTCTTCCTTTGCCAGTCTTTCTTTTCTCACACCTTTTTGGTTCACACACACTTTTCTGTGTTCTGTGTGCTTTCTTTTCTCACACCTTTTTGGTTCACAGAGACCACACTTTTCTGTGTTCTGTGTCCTCCCTTTGTCTGAGAAGAAAGTCAATCCACCTTAGCTGTAGCGCATTAAGTTCTAGCATTTGCTGCTTAGGCCTCTCTCGGGGATTTACAAAGCATGTAGAATGCATGGAAATAAGCAAGTTCCAACGGATGGTCCCAGCTATTAAGATAGCACACTTTTCCATGCATGGCAAGGAGACTTCCCATGTCCGCAGCCACCCTTTGTCTCCCACGTGTTCTGCTTATTATATGCGCAGTGCAGAGATTTTGGAATGGTCTTGTCATCACTGGCCATTTTGATGGATTGGTATCCAAGATGCCAGGAAGAGCAGAAGCTGATAAACTGCACCTGTGCCAGTTCACACAGTTCCTATGTTCTGCAAAGAACAGAATTTGACCATATACGACCCTACATCTGCTGTACAACATAATATGACAAATCCAAGAGCAGATTTGTGCATTTTATATGGTTTGTGTATTTTTTGCTTTAATTTGTAATGAAAATAAGCATGGCATGAAAGTAAGCATGGAAGTGCTTAGAAACTTGACACAGTCTCCTCTTAAAAAGTTGGAAAAACCTGCCTCTGAACTTCTCCTAAATAAATAGTGCAAGCAGAAGGGAACATTCCTCATAAACGCTCTAAGCCATTCACACAAGCTGTTTTGCTCAATGGAGCAAAAAAGGGGGATTTCAGTGCTCAGCTTCACGTCCCATCTCTTTTGGAAAAGCAGCCCCCCTCCCAACCCCTGCTTTGCTTTAGTAAGATACTTTAACAGATCCCTCATGGCATACGGCTATAAATTTGTTGCTCCACCATCTTCAACATAGTTCTTTGACATGCCTTTGATGCGCAAGTGGTCACAGTAATTCATGTGCCGTATTGTAGCAATTTTTGCAACAACCTGTGGAGTAAGTCACTACTGTGTTCCCCGCCTTCTAGACAAGAGAGCTCATAAACGTTTTACCGAGGAGGAGGCATTTGAACTGGCAATCCCCTGGCTCACAAAAGAAGCTGTGTTATAGCATCAAACTGTTGGACCATCTAGCTCAATCCTCCCTATGCCTTCTGGGAACTATTCTCCAAGATAGGGAATTTTTTATGCCCCTGCCTGGAAATGCAAGGGATTGAATTTGGGAGCCCCACCTGACAGACATTCCTAAAGACACATAAATGAGGCTCGCCTGGCAGAAGGCCTCAGCTGAACGGCCTAACTCCACCTAGCTTCCTGTTTAGAAAGGATGCTGCCTCAATGCTTGCTAGGAGTTTCCTTTTGGAACAGGAATTTAGGCCTATGCTAGGGCATGAGGCCTTCCTGCTTAGGCTTTTCTCCCAGGTGGACCACATTTTGGTGTCTGTCTGTCTGTCTGTCAGGTTGCAGAAGGCCAAGGATTTTTAACCCAAAGAAACCAAAGAGGACATCCTTACCCGGGACTTTTTGCACACATGAATGAGCTACACACTGACACTTTCTTTTGCTAATGGGCAAATACCACAGTCTAGAACCTTGTCCAGTGAGATGCATTACTCCAACATGCATTGCCTGAACTTCAGGGGTCAGAGGTTCACATTGATATTGTAACCCCTTTTTCAAAGAGCATATTTTTAGGCTGTGTGCACAACACCTTGGTTTTAAAGGAGGGGTAGCTAACTCTGGCTCTCCAGTACTGTCGGACTGCATCTCCCCTCCTCTCCTGTTGTTGTTGTTTAGTCGTTTCCAACTCTTCGTGACAAGTAGATCCTGACTATTGGTTGTGCTGGGCAGGGCTAATGGCATTTCCAGGCTAAAAAACATTGGAAGAGACTCCGTTGTCCACTTGTACTTTTGAAGAATCTTCTCAGATGGTGCTGTTAAAGTTTAGAAGTTCACAGATTAAATTTGAGGTTGCTGTCCTCCATTCAGGACTCTCTGATTTGCCAGTGTGGAGCTTCTTCAGTAATTCGAAACACAAATCCACAAGATTCCTTCTTGCTCACAAACGTTATCTACGTCGCCTTGGGCGACCCACCCTTTTTTAAAACATCAAAGCTTTTCCTCCTCCACCCTCAGAACCAGGATAACATTTCCACTCCGTGCTAAAGTTTTGAAAGATTACTGAAATAGGCATAAGATACACTGTGCATTAGATTTGTTGCTTGGTGTATGTCTACTGTCTGCTGGTCCTAATTTCCAGTTTCCCCAGCCTTTAGATTTATATCCATAGAAACGGTGTCATGTACTACCACAGTCAGCAAAAGGATTATTAGTGATTTCACAGGAATAGGAGGCTAGAGTTGACATACTTCATCCGTGTCAAGTAGCTCCTGTTTGTTAAAATATTGTCTACATGGAAAATGCTGAGCCTGCAGGCATCTCTCTCTCTCCCCCCCTCTCTTATTCTCTCTTTCTCTCTCTCTCTAGACAGATGTATGCACACACACACACACACAGCTGCAACACACCCAGAAAACAGTGTTGGTGGGAAGCTTTACACACATTCCTAATGAGTTTCTGTACTTTATAAGGCTTGCCCTTTGAGGCTTGGCATAGCAGCCTAGTGTCACCAGGTTCATCTCGCTACGTTTCATGCCCATATACCCATGCATCTGAAAGGTGAGAGTATGAGTGTGTGTGTGTGTACTTTTCTCCTGCTCCTTCCTCCTTCCTCTCTCCTTCTATTGATTCTGCTGCAGAAATCCCGTTTGCCCCCTTCCTCAGATTTCAGGGCCTCTCTGGTTTTCCTCCTCAACGTTTGGCTTCACTTCTTCAGCTATCGATTTTAAATATCTGAATAATTAGTCATGAAAACCAGGGAGGTGCTTAAAAAAAAACCCTGTGAAAGCCACCTGCTCTTCCCCCCACTCTTGTCTGGCAACTTACTCTCTCCTTGTGCCATTCTGTCCCAGCTCCCTATGTTTGCCATAGAGTTAATGTTTACCGTTCCATCCTGGCTCTTGTTCCTCTGGGTGCTGCTCCTTTCTCCTCCGAGAATGTGAGTGGGTGTTCAGATAAACATGAGGAACCATCTTCCTGATCTTTATCTAAGAGGTTTCTCATCACTCACTTGAGGAAGGGTGCTCATTATGGGTAGGGCAGGAAAGCACAATCCTTTGCTAAAGCTAAGGCGGTCAGCAAATTTAAATCGTATGCTGCCAGACACAATCTGGTTTGCCCAAGGCAAACTGGTTTCAGAAACAAATGTTAAGCCTTAAAAATTAGCGTACCTCTGAAACTTGCACTGAATCCGAATGCTTATTCATTATTGTTGCAGAACGTTGTTTTATGTTGTTGTTAGTCTGGTGAACAAAAGTGAAGCGAGTGCCCAAAGCTAAACAAGGTTCAGCTTAAATAAATGTTGGGTTGTAAACCAGCAAGAGAAACATGGCATATACATGTGCAAAGAAAGATGGAGAGGGAATATATAGAGTTTTACAGAGCACTGAAAGAGGAAACTATTCCTTTATAGTGTTGTTTACGTTCATCCCAGATTCATGCACAGCACAACCTCCCTTCTCTATGAATGCATATGTTGAGAGGATTGGCATGCAGCCTTTCAGCAAACTTTGTGAGTGGTTATTCTGTAGTTGGTGAAAAACAAAGATAACATTCAACTAATAGCATGTTAAAACAAAGACAATATTAAAAACATGGAAGAAAAACTAGTGCACTTTCCCATTGGCACCAAAAGGTTAAGAGGGCCAGACCTCCTGGGGAAAGAGACCTTCAAACTGGATTCGGCCACAGACAAGCCTCTGTCTGGTTGCCAGCCACCCCCCTTGGGAGGGCAGGGTGCCTGGATATACAGAAGCTAGGCTTGTTTCAGGTGGCTGCTGGGTCCTGTGGCCAGGAGGGCTTTCAAGGAAAGGATCAGCAACTTCCTGACAATGTCCAGGCAGGGCTTGTATTTTGAACAGACGGCCTTTTAGAAAAATCTTCCAAGGCAGCCCGATGAACACCCCATATAGTTATTTGCAGACACCGCCAAAGTATCAGTAAGTGTGGAATGCCTACTTTCTTCTATATTCTGTTTTTGGAAAAGAATTTGTATAAATGATAGCACAGCTACAACCCACTCTTGAGCCTCCTAGTTCTGTGTATTCCTAATCAAATCCTATAAGCTATTGTCTTGCTGTTCTCCGTATCTGCCTACACCCTCCCATTTCCAGCTCCCAGGATTTGGATTCCCCACATCATGTGTATGTGTGTGAGAGAAATATACCCTCTCCCATGTCAGGAGCATGAGTTGGTTGATATCCTGTCCAAAGAAATCACTTCTTCTCATTGAGAACTTGTATAGCAGTTGGAAGGGAAGGGATTCTTTGACACCCCATGCCACTTCTCTGGACTTGGGATTCTTTGACATCCCATGCCACTTCTCTGGACTTGATCCAGTTCTATTTGTCTATCTAAGCAGCATCTCTCTCTCTCCGCAGCTGTTCTTCAGTTCTGGGGCACTCTTTACAATATAGAGGTTTTTGTGTTGCCGGAGGAGACTCTTGAGAGTCCCTTGGACTGCAAAGAGAACAAAACTATCCATTCTGAAGGAAATCAACCCTGAGTGCTCACTGGAAGGACAGATCCTGAAGCTGAGGCTCCAGTACTTTGGCCATCTCATGAGAAGAGAAGACTTCCCGGAAAAGACCCTGATGTTGGGAAAGTGTGAGGGAAAGAGGAGAAGGGGATGACGGAGGATGAGATGGTTGGACAGTGTAATCGAAGTGACCAACACGAATTTGACTCAATTCTGGGAGGCAGTGGAAGACAGGAGGGCCTGGCGTGCTCTGGTCCATGGGGTGATGAAGAGTCGGACAGGACTAAACAACTAAACAAGAACAAGAGGTTTTTGTGTAAACTCCCTGCTTTCACAATACAACCCATGTACTGTTGTGAATCCTTGCAATATACTTTGTGTGATTTCCCAGTGGAACTAAGGTAATGTTGGATCAGAGGATGATAGGAAGTTCTGCACAAAAGCCCAGCACCTCCCCAGAGGTTCTGGATTAAGTTGGACTCTGGATAGAAGAGAAGGAGGATTTCAAACCCCCCCCCCCACATATGAGCTCTGCAGTTGAATATTTCTAAGAAAACAAGTGAGCCAAGAGAATCACAGACAACTAGAACAGCAATTCAGGAGTAATTGCATCATCTCTGTGCTCCTAAAAACCAGTCTTTGTGCCTCTCCCCACCCCCACCCCCACTACAAACTCTGTCCAGCAACTTTGCATTACAGGAAACATCTGCCGGGAGGGAGGGCCACGACTAGGTTACTTCAGGGCATTGGCCACTAGGATATCTCAGAGACTGAAACTTAAAGCATGTGCAAGTCATTTCAGTGTCTTTTCCCCACCCACTGCTTCCATGTGAGAAATTTAAAAGGAGAAAAGCTGCCTTTTAGAGAAGAAACGGGAGCAAGGAGTGTCCAGTGCGGTCACTGGATCAAATTCAGAAACGGTTGTTTTGCACAGCCTGGAGGGAAGGTCTGGAGACAAAGCGATTCTTCGTTCCTCCTGCGATTCCAGCAGAGCTTGGGAATCAATACAAGCTATTGGAACAGGCTGCCTGAGGTGCTCCTTGTTTGTTGCCCTTTGCGATACTTGGCTGTTGCTGCTCTGTTCCAGTTTGGACATCGTAGAGCTGAAATGCGATCCTCTTAAAGAGTTTCTCTGTGTGACGTTTGGTTTTCTCCAGCTGAAAGCATCCCTGCAGGGCACGGTGGAACGGCAGAGGACAATAATCACCTTAGCCACCAGCCTTGCCTGAATGAACTTGGGACCGCTTTGGGAAGTTGACGTTTCTCTTTGTTCCACTGGTTCTACTGAGCTACCTGGGAAAGGAGGTTCTGGTGCACAGACATGCATCTGCATGTTTTCAAGTGATCATCTGCTGTTGTTAATAATTTTGGTGACGGACCTGAAGAGAGGAACTATTGTGTTCCTATATTGTCCACGTACCGCTAAGAGGCTAAAGCAGACACGTGAAGGAACAAGTAGGGGACACTGATGTCACATCATGGATTCGCTGTCAGAATGCGGAGCCCTTTGGAGTCTTCTACTAGATCTGGAGGACAAGAGGCTACTATGTTACCTGGAGTGGCTATATGATTTTTCGGAAAATCATGACAGCTCAGCATGGGAAATGCTTCCAGCTGTGAGTGTCTTCATACTGAAGTTGTGCCCAATACAGAAATTCTTCTGCTACCTTCCCACTTCTTAACGCTTTCCTTAAAAATCCTCTATTTATTTTTCTTTTCATGCCTTGTGCCAAGAAATTCCAAACACAGAGGTGTTTCTGAATTCTTTAGCACCATCCCTTACCCTCTCCTCTGTCCCCCACCCTATGCAGTCAAACTTAAAAGCAAAGGCAGAGTTGCTCCAGCCTTCTTCAGCTTTGTTTTGCTTTGAAGCATTTGAATTCCAATTTCCCTGCCCAGCTTGCTTCACCTTTATTAGATTTCCTCCTGTGAAAGTGCCACTGAGAGTTTATAGGAATTAAAAGAAATATTTTAGCTTTCGGTGATGATCTTTCACCATGTATTAATTTCTGGCCTTTTGTCATTAGCTTGTTTGTCTTACTATTTAAGCTGTATGTGGTTGTTTCTATTTTTTGTGATGGACGAGAAGCTGTAGCTGTCGAAAAGACACACATATGCCCCCAAAATTCCTATTCAGTTCTAACAAAAAAAAAAGGGATATACTAATAACCTTCCTTGCTCCAGCTGGGAACAGTACTTATCACTGCTGAGGATGATGGCATTGTGACAGAATGCCAGCATGCATGCAGTGTTGCAGACCTGCCAGTGTATACATTCATCTGAGTAATGAAGCATTACTCTGTCTTCTGGTCATCGTTTCCACCAGTAAAACATGCCGGAGCCAGCAGGGATGGAAAACCAGTTGGAGTTTTCATTCACACTCTCACTGCAGTCCGAGTCTGAGGACATCAGAGTCATGGTCAGAGAAACACATTGGAGGGTGCAACTGTGCAACAGAATATTAATCTCTGTTTTGTGACTTCAGAACGGGCCCTGGCTACCCATAACTAGAGACGTTGGCTTGATTTGTGGATACGTCCTAGTGTAGATCCTCTTGATTCCACCAGTGCCTATTCTTAGGTCCAGTTTGGCTAGGCTAAGATGTCACCAGGATTGGAAAAGCCTCTTCAGCTTTCCAAGACATGGAGGTTTTTGTGTCCTTATTCTTGGGCTTCTAGATAGCTCCCATTTTTTTTTAATGGTCAGCTGAAAAGAGATTAATTTCCAGTAAGATCCCTCCAGGACAAATGTTGTCCTGTGCCACCTTCTTTTTCCATGCCTTCGTAAGCCATCAACCTCATCACTGCTTTCTAGGGTTGCTATAAATGAGAAGGCCCTGTCGTGCCTCGAGGGATTGCCAGAACATTCTTAAATGAGGGAGCAGCCCTTTATTTCAGCATCTCTCAACACCATTGGAGATGTGCTGGCATTCATTGTTTTCTGTAAGGAAACAATATCACAGCATCATCGTTCGTGTATATATCAGTGTGTGTTGTGCGTGTGTGTGTATAGTTCTTGTTTTAGAAACACAGGTTTCTAAATCTTAAATCTAAATCTTCGTAGATTTAATTGTCCAAAGCAAGCTCCAGTAGAATTGCAGTCTGTTTCTTTGTCTTTGTTTCTGCCCGCCACCCCTCCTTGCCTTCTACACCTTGCCTCTTGCCAAACTTGTTGTGAACCCATCCAAAAAACAACACTGTGATCCAAATAAGTGCCTAGAAATCAGTAGTTCTTGCCTTACTTTCCCTTCATTAGGACTTGCTTGAGAGCATGGGTTTCTCTGCAAGGCTTTTAACACGTTGCACTTTCTCCTTTGTTAGGGTCTGTGCGGTGGTGTCAGTGGAATGAAATTGACCTTCTGCTTGAGCATTCCTGGTGACATGGCTGTCTCTCTCCCAGGTGTCTCCTCCTCTTCCTCCTCACCACAACCAGTGGTTAGCAGACCAGCTCCTCTCACCCATTTTTCACCCCTGCATCATCCAAAATGGGATAATATCTGCTTTTTTCATGCCTAGTTCTGAATAACAACATTTCTCCCTAGATGGTCCCTTTGCTTTTGGCACTTTGTTGCCTCGCCTCCCATCTGATCAACTCTCTGCTGTTTACAGGTGTTGAGTCCAACCTACAAGCAGCGGAATGAAGATTTCAGGAAACTTTTCAAACAGCTTCCTGACACAGAGCGCCTCATCGTGGGTAAGGATCCCCTTGTTCTCCTGAGTCGGATGAAAGTAGAGGGTTTACCGCTGTTGTACAAACCAGCCTTCCCAAGCCAGAAGGGAGAAAGGGTTCCTCCTTTGCCACCCCTGTCAAGAGGGGCCTCTTTCCCATTTCTCCTGTATAAACAAAACCTTCTGGGGAACAACATGGAGCCTAATACACAGCTTGGTACTTGCCGTCTTACCCAGGTAGATACCTCGCATCAGTGGTAGGCTCAGTGTGAAAAGGAGGGAGACTTGTTATAATATTTTCCTTGTAACGCTTGGACCACATTAGTGGTACACATTGATATTTGAACACTGCAGTATTTAAATAGGTGGGGGGGGGAAATGAAGGTGCTGGTGGGTTTGTATTTTCTGTTCATGTTTGCTTCACACAGGCTACAAAAACGGATGAGAAAACATTGAAAGTGCTGCTTTTATTTCATATGATGACTATACAGAACCAATCTTTGATGCTTACTGCAGGACCAAAATGGGGAGTTTCATCTGGGACAGCGATGTGATAAGTCAGCATGGCAAACTGTTCTTAACGGAAGATGAGGGTGATCATCATGGAGTAGTGTGGGCTTCTGATATATGAACACTCTTAAGTCTCTGGGCAGAGTCGTGTTTGGTTTTTCCATCCACGTCACACTCTGGGTGGCAGCTTCTCAGATTTAACCAAGAGGCATCCAATAAGTCTTCCTTGCGCAGGCTTAGACCTTGTCCAGCCACTCCCAGATTTCTCCCTTTTGGGGGTGGAAGGACCAAATAGAATCCTGCCCTCTGTAAAACAAAGAATGCACTGATATCCCAGATATTTTAATTTTGATGCAGAAATGTGTGATAACAGGAAAGGATTTTTAAACTGTGGGTTGTAACGGTTTTCGTTTTGCACCTATGGATCTGTATTTTCTCTTTTGCTTCTCTTTTTACCTTTTGTTCGGTAGGCCATTTGGTACAGAGAGAATCTCCCATTCCCCTCACCTGGAGCACCTTGATACCTTTTCCGAAATAAAGAAGAGTCTATAAAAATGCAAAAGAGGTCAACATGTGCCTACCTTTTTGGCCTATTGCAGATCCTGCTCTCCCAGGACTGCAGATTTGTAACGAGCCCAAGGTGTCTAGAAATAGTGAGGAATGCATGTGTAGGTTGTGTGTGATAAGGAATAAATGTTCTTGGGGTAACCATATTGATTGACATTTTGGAAAGAATGTCTTAGTGATTTTAAAGTGGCTGAGGACAAAATAAAAATGGCCACTTGACCCGGATAAACAGGAACGAAACCAAGAATCATCAGAATTTGTAACAAGATTAAAGGATTCTTCGGGGGGGGGGACAGCAAAAAACGCAAAACCCCCAATTTCTTTCTTTCATTCATTCATACATTTCTTAGATTCATAGATTGCCCCATTAGTGCATGCACTATTCTGTGTGGTTTACAAAGGTTAAAACATATAATAATAATAACATTCATTCATTCATTCATTCATTTCTTAGATTCATAGATTGCCCCGTTAGTGCATGCACTACTCTGTGTGGTTTACAAAGGTTAAAATATATTATAATAATAATATATAAAGGAGCAATTAACAAACAACAGCAAACTTCAAGAGGCATAAATGATAAAAGTGAAATGCGGAATGCGAGGCAAAATAAAGAACTATCAAGCAGAAGAAACAAAAAAGCTTTATGGATTATGAAGGCAAGAGACTGTCTCCTTGGTAGTATGAGAACAAAGTATTGCTTTGAGTGAGTTCTCCCCATGGCATATTTATTTATTGACTGTATCTTTCCTGCAAATCCTTAAAAATTAGATTCAGCAGGTTCTTTACCTATAAAATGGGGAGGAGGGAAGGTGTATGAAAAGGATGCTGACTCAGAGGAAATTAAGGAGTTTTTATTTCACAACTTGGCTCGTATACAGCTTAGGCAAACAATGTGTCTGGTTTCTATTCCAAAGCATGAACCAGAGTGGCTGATACTTGTTTCATGGTTTGTAATTTTAGGCTAAACTAGAAGAGGATGACCTTTATACAATAAGCAACTGTGTAGATAAGGGTTTGAAAAATTACACAAGCCAGTACCAAGGATGTGGAGAAGGGTTAGGGAGTTTTGGCCCCAGTTGTAGTTCCATTCCGGGATTGGTCCCCTGCATACACAGCATCACAGAATTTCATGAACGACAACTTACTCATGTCAGCTTTACCAAAACCACTATATTTTAAAAGCACTCAAGAGGACATTGGGACCTGAGCCACATCCCTAAAGAAAATGGACATGTTTTGTCCTGCCAGGACCCGTTTCTGCCTCCCAACTGTCTCAGAAATTGTTTTTGAAAGATCTTGAGGAATTGGAAGAAAAGAGGTTTCTAGTTTTGAAAGGGCGATCTTACACAAGATAGGGTATTGGCAGCAATACAACTACTTAGGTAGTCATGACGATAACATGAAAACTGTCATCAAGGTCAGTACTTACAGCAGACAAGCTTCTGCACAAACTTGAACAATGAAACAAAGATTATGCTGTCTGTATTGAAGATCGAATGAGAGATATTTATCAGGTCCTTGAATATGAAATAAACAGTAGGATAAACAGTACTAAGTAGCAGATCTGGATAACATGTCATCCTTGGTACCAGTATTTTATGGGTTACCCAAAATAATGCTATGATCTTTCTCTGCCAAGGAAATATGTTGGTGGAGTTAACAACCGTTGACATTAGTCTTTCTTATGTCTCTGCAGATTATTCCTGTGCACTTCAAAGAGATATTCTCCTGCAGGGCCGCCTCTACCTCTCTGAAAACTGGATATGCTTCTACAGCAACATTTTTCGCTGGGAAACATTGGTGAGGATTTTCTCCCTACCCCATCCCTACCCCTCCCTTCCTCATCATCCCTCTGTGGTGTCGAGCTTGCTTCAGGACCACTCTTGAAATACTGCAGTGGGATGCACCATCCCCATTCTTTATCCCTCTTTCAAGTTCTTTTTGTTTTGTTTATAGTTGACAGTCCGTTTGAAGGACATCTGCTCCATGACCAAGGAAAAAACAGCACGGCTCATTCCTAATGCTATCCAAGTTTGCACTGACACTGAAAAGGTATATACTGCAAAGGGCTCCAGAGCAGGAAAGGTGACTACTCTGAACACTGATTTGAGATGGGTCACGTTGTGTCCAGGATTTGGCTGTTAATGCAAAACTCCCTTGGGGATGTGGGATGGCTGCAAAATAGGACACGGACAGGAAGTCAGGAAGGGGGGACAGGAATTGATCAGAAATCTGGTTAGGAAGAGGGTCATGTTTTTAGAGAGTTGGAAGTTGTTTGTTTTGCACGTATTGTTGACTCCAGTCAAACAGGTTTTGCAGGGCTAGAGGACAATAGAAAGTCCTGTGAAATGTATTTCGTAACAACTTTCATTACAATGAACTCCACTAAATTCTAGTGTCGGATTTACTTCTATATAAACACATACGGTACAGTGCTCTAGATTTTTGTGCTTGTATTTTGTTATACTCCATCCCTTGATCACCAACTTCCACTGAAATTTAGACTGTCATCTCCATGGAGAATTTGGAGTTCCTAGTTTGTAAGAGAAGATATGAGAGAGGTGTATAAAGTGACACATGATTTGGCAAAAGGAGAGCAGAGAGCATGATTTTCCCTATAATGATAGGATCTGGGGTCATACAGTGACATCTAATGATGGGAGATGGAAGGCAGATAAAAAGAAGTGCTTTTTTGCATAGTTAAACAATGGGATTACCTACCACAAGATGTAGGGATGGCTTCCACCACAAGTAGGTTTTTAAAGGGAATTAAACAAATTCATGGAAGATAAAGTCATCAGTTTCTACTCATCATGACAGACCTTCAGTATCAGAGGCTATATGCTTCTATATACCACTTCCTGGAGAACACAAATGAGACAGGATAACTGCAGTCATGCACCGTTTGCTGTCTCCCTACAGGCAATTGATCAGCCAGTGCAGGAACCAAATGCTGGACATGGTGGCCCTTTAATCTTATCTAACATGGCTCTTGTCATGTTTTGTTAGTACTGGCTACAAGAGAGTCGGGGCAGTGTAGTGCAATGGTTCTTAACCTTGGGTTACTCAGGTATTTTTGGACTGCAACTCCCAGAAGCCTTCACCACCAGCTGTGCTGGCTGGGGTTTCTGGGAGTTGCAGTTCAAAAACACCTGAGTTACTCAAGGTTCCCACCAACCTAGCGGTTCGAAAGCATGCAAATGCGAGTAGATAAATAGGTACCATCTTGGTGGGAAGGTAAACAGCATTCCGTGTCTAAATCACACTGGCCATGTGACCACGGAAAGATTGTCTTCGGACAAACGCTGGCTCTATGGCTTGAAGAGCGGCATGAGCGCCGCCCCCTAGAGTCGGGCACAACTGGACAAAAATTGTCAAGGGGAACCTTTACCTTTTTTTGAACTCAAGGTTAAGAACCACTGGTGTAGTGGGCAAAGTTACAGGAGACCTGACTTCCAATCCCTGCTCAGCCATGGAAATTGACTGAAGGGTTACAGTGGTAAAACAATTTCTTAAATATCTCACATAGCTTGGAAACATGATTAGGTTCACCATAGTTTGGCTGTGACTTGATGGTCTGCAACAATGACAAAACAGGAATATTAATTACAGTAAGTTGCTTCATAGAACAGTGAGTTGATATTAGAGAAGAGGGCACATAATAAGATGACTGATGCAACTGGTTAAATATGTGGGCCAGCTGGTCAAAGGAATACTTAAAGCAGCTATGTGACAGTCAGTTTGGTCATTAAACCACCTCAATTGTAGAAAAGTAACTTGAAATGTAAAGGGCACCTACTGGCTATGACGTGAATGCACTGTGCATTTATTTACTCTTATTTCCTTACCACCACAAAGTTTCTCAAGTCACACATAATTTGGAATAAAATCACAAGTTGTCTTTCTGTTTGCCAACTTGTTCTTGAACAACTGTCTTCTTCTCTCCCTTTTTCACAGCACTTTTTCACTTCCTTTGGTGCCCGAGACAGGACGTACATGATGATGTTCAGGCTCTGGCAGAATGCTCTCCTGGATAAGGTACAAAGATGCAAGACACTTCTTCACCGAGAAATAAGCTTCTTTGTTGTTGTTGTATCTATAGAGCTGTATCGCTCCATTTAGCAATATTCTGTCAAAGGCAGAAGACAGCCCACAACAAGGTGTACATAAAAACAGCAACTGTTAAAACAGACACAACAAGGTGTACATAAAAACAGCAACTATTAAAACAGCAGCCAAAAAAACAACAAAAAACACCAGCAGCAGCAACATTGTTTAAAACAAAACAAAACAAAAAAACACCAGCAGCAGCAACATTGTTAACAAAGTAGGATAAAACTAGTTTTGAGCTAGTTTCAGTTGATCACAAAGAAGGGCTGGGGTAAGGAGAAGTGCCTCTACTTGGTGCAGAAAAGAATATTGCTGGCTTAGGCACCAACCAGGTAAGCCTCCCTAGGAGAGCATTTCACAGCTGCCTAGTCTCAGAAGCAGGAGGCATGTGGAAGATGCCTCAGAGGATCTCCATCAATCATCAGGCCCAGTGCGGTGGAGATTGATCTGTTATACACCCAGATCCCTAGCTGTGCCCAGCTTTAAAAGTAAGCACCAGAACCTTGAATTTCATTAGGAGATAGACTGGTGGTGCTTAGCAATTTATTTTTCCAGACTGGCTCTCTGAAGCTCATTCTGGTTAGCTCTCTCACAAAAGATACACTGACCTCTGTCTTAACACATGATTTCTTGTTGTCTTTCTCTTCAACAAGCCGGCATTTATCTGCTTAATGTCCTAAAAACCACATGCTCCTGTTGCCAAATTCGGCTAGCAGTTTTCCTGCCCATTTTCGTTATGTGATTATCACATGCATGCCCGTGCACTTGCTAACAGCTGTTGGACTTGGCTTTCAAGGAGGTCTTTCTCTTTGCTGCCTTCCTTTTTTAGTGCTAGCAGCATATTTGACCTTTTCACATATTAATTTTGTGAGAGTCCAGCCCTCTGCAACAAGGGAGGCTTTGTGCTCAGTCTAAACCTGCAAGGGAATGAGGGAGAGCCCTTCCCCAAGGCTGCCGCTATCAGCGTTGGGTTGATTCCTCGGCTGTGACCCTGGCTGGGATATCTGGGCCTGACCGGGGTTCTGCTTTGCCTCGTCTAGATCCAGAGTGGACAGTTGTCCTGTGCTTTGCCTAGAGTCTCTTTGAAGACAGCCGGGACATGTCAACTGCTAAGGAATGTGGACACTCAACTCTGAGATGCCCAGATTGTCTTACACTCACACTGTTTCTGCGCTGGTATCAGAGGGATGATGTTTAAACCCTCTAAGCAGTTTGGGTCCAGCTTATTTGAAGGGCATTTAAGCCCATATGAAGCTGCTCATGTGTTAAGATCATCTTCAGAGGCCCTGCTTTATAATTTACACCAAGGTGGGCCGGCTACTTTCATTCAGTAGTGGCACCTTCCTGGGGAAGTGGCTGATTTTCAGAGGGTTTTAAAAACTCATTCTGGTTTTCAATGTACAATGTCAACATGGATCGCCTGTGTGGGAAGTACTAGTCCACCCTCTCCCTCTTCCTAGCCCCTGTGTCCCAAGGAGCTCTGGCATTTTGTCCACCAGTGCTATGGCAACGAATTAGGACTGACAAGTGATGATGAAGACTATGTGCCTCCCGATGAGGATTTCAACACGATGGGGTAAGCTAGCTCTGTTGCCCAAAACAAGGAGGACAAGTGAACTCAGGTAAATCCAGCTCAGATGCTTGCTGTGCCTCAGGCGTGCCAGTGGGCCAAGAGAGAGAGAGAGAGGCCAGACCGGTATTGCTGGGTTTTTACAAAGCAACACAAGATCACATTTCTTTGGTATGTGTAAATGAGTGCTGTTGCCCGTGGTCAGCCCACTGCTTCCTTTGAGTGCAGGAAAAATATCTCTGAATCCTGATCAGCTTCTGGGCAGATGCATCTATAGCAGCTTTGAGAGAGGGTGGCATTTGTCAGTGATAAGTAAGCCATATTATATCCTAGCAGTGCGAAAACGAAACAAAGCAATGGTTTGTATTACCTGGTTGGCTTGCTAGGGAACAAACAGAGAGTTACTTGAGCAAGTGTCTTCTCTCAGATGTGTTGTGGCTACTTGATCTTGGCATGTGCAGAAAACCCCATAATCCCATGGATGTTTTTCCCTAACGTGATGCTGAGAGGTTTCACCAGATAAAACACATGCCCTGTCAACATCCCCACTCTTGATAGTCTCAGTCTAAAACTTTACGAGTCTGGCTGTGTCTGAAGAGCAGATTGTCTCATCAGCATGGGGGAGCACACACTCTGTGCTAGAATCATCCACAGTTTCCTGGACGTATAACTTATCCCTGAACTGTGTGGTCCATGCAAGTGTCTAGTAACCAGCTGGTGGGGTAGCCAGAATGGCAACTGCGAGAGTGTGAATCTCTTTGTTATGAGTTTTGCTTTGTCTTCCAAAGTTTTCTTCTTAGATGTTTAGCTTGTACAGTTGCCTAAATTCATCTGGATCCTGTTTGTTCTTCTAGCTACTGTGAGGAGATTCCAGTGGAAGATAATGAAGTAAATGACAGCTCCTCAAAAAGCAGCATGGATGTCAAACCCGAAGCCAGCCCTCAGCTTCCAAAGAAATCCATCACCAACAGCAGCACGTTGACACCTACAGGAAGTAATGAGGCTCCAGTCCCAGTAAGCATTTGCCCTGTGCATGTTTCACATCTCCGATGTGAACCAGTATATAGTTGGTAGGGAAATAAACAATTATTTTACTTCATCACTGAAAGATGTCCAATATAATTTTATTAAGGCTCTTGCTGTTAAATATTAAAAAATGTTTTAAAACTTGAAAAAAATATTTCCTTGACCTGAGGAGATGTGTCACAATTTAAACATACCAATTGGTACAATTCCATTTTGAGACAGAACATTTATCTTAGCAGTCTTGAAAACAGCCCAACGCTTTTGCTTCACCTCTAAAAATATACCTGCTGAATCAACCTTACATTCTTCTTTGGGCCGTCTGTGTGGTCCCCTTCTAATGACTAAACCCATTTGCTTGTCTCGATTAAATCAAGAGTGAAATGTTCAGTCACTGTGTACATAAATCTTTTTGATTCAATGGGCCTAGTGTAGTTGGAACCAGCAATCGTGTGTGCATGGTGATGTAAATGTTTTCTTGTTCTTATGTGCCAAGAAGGTGTTTGCCAGTAATAGTCACCCTAAATCAAGAATCTTAAAAAAAAATGTTCAGATCTTGCTTCTGCAGCTCTGTGGCTTCCTCTGTACAACCGCCCATAATTTTATGTCACTTTTTTCCCTAAGTTACATTATACAAAGGCACTGTGATTAAGAGAAAATTCATAGGTGAAAAAGGGAAGTCCTCTGCTCACACACTTTGCAGTGGCAGGTAGTAGAGACAGCTTTCAATGAAGGCTAATACAGTTATTCTTAATGATTCCAGTATGAAGGTGTAGTTCCTGAGGAAGAAGAGGTTTTGGACATTTCTGTAGAGAAGGAGCTGACAATCGCCAGCCTGATTGCTGACAAGATAGAGATCATTGCTCCAGTGAAGTCCCCATCCCTGGATTTTAATGACAACGAGGACATTCCAACGGAACTCAGCGATTCCTCGGAAACTCATGATGAAGGTGCGTAGCTGGAGCCCACAGGAATGGTGGTGCGATGGACCGTCCCTGTAGCATCTCCTTCTCTCTCTCTGATGCCATGAAAGTCAATTTAGAAAGGCACGGACTTCTAGCATGGGATCTCTACCACGGATCTCTACCACTTATACTTGCCATCTGCTGGCAAGATTCATGTACTGAATGTTGTCTAACCAAAACCTGTGTAAAGTTGTCATGTGTAGTAAGAAGCAATCCCCTGCATTAAGATAACTGTGGTTAAAAAAATGCAGTAATTGCCTAGCAAGCCAGTGATGTCCTGCTTCTTTTTGCAGGGGAAGTCCAGGCCTTTTACGATGACCTGAATGGGCGGCAGTATATGAATGAGGTGTTCAATTTTAGTGTGGATAAGTTGTATGACCTGCTCTTCACGGACTCTCAGTTTCTGCGGGACTTCATGGAACAGCGACGGTTTTCGGGTAAAGTTGGCCCTTGTTGGCCTACATACAGCCTTGTGGTGTAGTTGGTTCTCTCTCTCAGAGGTTCACGTAAGGACATAGCTATGCTCCAAATGTAGACTCACTTCAAAGGTCCAAAGGACATGGCATCCTACCAAAGACCTCTTGGGAACATGCAGCTTTGTGAAAGGAGTGGGGGAATCTCCAACAGAATTCCTGCACCCTTCACAACATTGCTGTTCCCAGGGTTTTCCTGAGAGAGAGAGAAAGAGAGAACGACCTCCTTGAATTCATTTTATAATTTTAATCCTCAGGCAAGTTGACAATGAGATTCTTTGTCCAGTTGTGTGTTCCAGGTCACAAAGTTGTTCTGAAACATCAAAAGGCAGAAATGGAGAAAACGGTTTTGCTGGTGGGAAAGGACAAAGAGTTCCTCCATCCTGCCCAGTTCAGTCTCTAATTCATGGGGTAGCCAATGTGGAAGGCCCTTTACCACCACCTCACACCCACCATGGCCTGACTAGAAGATCACACGTATTTTTTAAGGGTTTTGTTTTGCTAGAACCACCATGTGGAAGGCATATTGTTTTAGAGGGGGCACAATCTTCCTGCTTCTTAGCCAAATAGCACAGAGCAACGTAAGTTGGTTGGGCTGCAAAAATGGCCTGGGGGGGGGAAGTCACATACTTCCTGAGAGCTCTCTGATTCCCAACTCTGATCTAATTTGGTGCTTAAGTTGTATTGTAGTTTTCCTTCAAGAATATCAGTTCTCTGCATTGCAGGAGTAGGGAACCCTTGGCCATCAATATGTTTTGGGCTTCCAAACTGGGTGCAAATCCTTGCTTTTCTTGTCTCTGTAAGCAAGGACAAAGGGCAAGATATTTTTGATGATAATGACCCAACAAATTTTCTGCCAATTGTGTATCTTTCACAAATTACATAATCTGGGTAATTTATCTGCAGTTGCCACATTGTGTGGATGTTTAAGAATGAAAGGCATTGGATGGGTTTCTCGCATCTTAAACAACCAGCCATTCCTTCTGTGCTATCTGTGTGTCTGCACTTCCTTCTGAAGGGGAAAAGACATGGGGTTTATGCAAATTCTTTACATGCACTGTGCACAACTTGCAGAAATCTTGACAAAAGAAGTGTTTATTTTCCCACTCTTGCATTGGGGTAAGGAATCCTCAGGATTAGACATGTCTCATAGTGTTGGGACAGCCTGAATTAATTAGAATGAGGATTTCTAGTAAATATCTTACAGTCCTACAGTTCCCATCATGCCTGGGCAGTATAGCGAATGGTGAGGTATGGTAAAGTCACATACTGGTGCCTCCAAGAACAGGGTGAATTCTCTAGAGATTTAAAGCTTCCCAGTAACTTTCCCAAGATTATCAACATTCTCATATATGTTGCAAAACTATCCTGTGGGGATATTTGCAAAGAAGTATTTCCAAGTTCTGAAAAAATAACGTCTAGCAAGCCCCAGAAAGAGGCCACAAATTTTCTCAGAATTTCAGTTTGTACAAATTTGCAAACATGTGAAATCCACCTGCGAGCCATCTCATCAACCTTCTCAGGTTTTAAAAAAACTTTCCTTTGAATTCTCAGTGATGCAGGGCTTTCTAATTTCACTGTGCACTTTGCTTTAGGCAAAATCAGGTTTTGCAATTTAGGTTTTGCTTTAGGCAAAATTGCAATAATGGGAGATGCAGAGGAGAGAATCCCCGTGCTACATGCTCTTCAAATTTCTGAAGACGACATCTAGGACAAGGAGGAACGTTTCAGTTTTGTGTCCAGGTAGAGACAGGCTGTGGTGTGACTTTTAGACTTGAAAGCCCCAATATTAGCTCCATATTTCTTTCTATTGCCTTGAACAGACTGCTACAATTGCAGAATTACTCAACCACGGTTTCTTAATATTAAAATAGGAGCATTACTACTTCACTTGGAAAAACAGAAAGGAGCAAAGGGCGCAGCATAAAGAACCATAAGTGCTCTGTGTCCAGCTTGTTGGATCTGCCAGCTAGGGTGGAGGTGGAGGCCGTCCATGCCCTAGGATTTGGCCAGGGAAATATTCCTTCCTCTACTCCTTGGGAGCTAGATCATCATTTGCTTCTCTCTGTGATCCAAAATGCTCACCAGCTGACCCTACTGCCTATTTTTCTCTCTCTCTTCCCAGATATTGTTTTTCACCCGTGGAAGAAAGAAGAAACAGGTAACCAGAGTCGCGTTATCCTCTACACCATCACCCTCACCAACCCTCTGGCCCCTAAAACTGCCACTGTCACGGAGACTCAGGTAAGAAGCCTATCTTAGTTCCCTGAACTTTGTGGGTGGTGATTTATCTTGGATTTAAGGGGGCTTCATCTGGAAAGCTCCTCGTGGTATCCTTCTCCACTGGCCAACTTCTTCTCCTTTACACCTGTTTTCTCTGCTTTTTCCAGACAATGTACAAAGCAAGCCAAGAGAGTGAGTGCTATGTGATAGACGCAGAGGTGCTAACTCACGATGTTCCCTACCATGATTATTTCTATACAATTAATCGCTACACATTAACGCGTGTTGCCAGAAATAAATGCCGACTCAGGTGAGTATCCCTGGGTGAAATTAATAGGGAGTGCTGTCATTAATGGCTGTGATATTGGCAGGGTGGGTGATAATTGAGTTTAATAGCATCTGTATGCCATTGTTGCCACGTAGGAAGGAGACACTAAGGGGTGCAAAAGCCTTTATGAAAAAGAGAAAAATAAATGGTCTTGAATTCAGGGCCAGGATCTGGAAGAAAGCAGATTTTTCTTTAGAGAGAAGTAGCCTTTCTGAATGATTCCAATCACTTCACTCTTTCTCCTAAACCACAGCCAGCCACCGTGTTTTGAAAAAATGGTGTTTCAGGTTGCAGATCCCAAGACAGATGTCTTGTTGTGAAAACTGCTTGTACAGCTAGTATTACAGCTCTTGAGCAGGATGGCATGTGTTCTGCCTTTGAACTTTTATAAATGAGTTGGCAAAGGCTAGAGAGAGAGAGAGTGCTGGTAGAGGATGCAAAGTGGGAGGGAAAGGCCAACCCCGACACTGCAGACATGGACGGCCACCAGTCCAAGGGCAATAGTTGCCTGTTGCGCTACGGATCCTGTATTGAGCAGGTGAACAAAATGACTTGCAACGGTCCTTCCCACACGTCCACTCTTCTTTTCAGGGTTTCTACAGAGCTGCGATACAGAAAACAGCCATGGGGACTGGTGAAGTCCTTCATCGAGAAGAACTTCTGGAGTGGCCTAGATGATTATTTTCGCCATTTAGGTGAGATCTTGCTGAAATGATCCAGAGGAACTAGCTGTTTGCCCGCTTGCTTGCCTGTGACGGGAGAGGGCATATGGTTGCCTTCTGGGAGCAAAATAAGGAGACTGCATAAACTGAGCTTTTAAAGAGGCCCAGACTGATGAAAGAAAGATTCCTTTTAGCATTTCAGTTCTGTGCCCTAAGAGAAAAGCCGCCTTATTCTGGAATATACTCGTAGGTGTGTAGCAGCAGGTGACTCATCCAGGCTGAAGGTGGGGAGAGGCTCCTCAGTCAAGGTCCCGACAGTGCCTACGGCATGGCAGATGGCAGTTCGGGGCCGTTGGCCACATCCTGAGGACCGAGGTTGCTCTGAGGATGCCGTTGACTCGAGGGACTGCGGCCTTTTGCTGGAGATCAACTCCATGGTCCTCCTAATGAATTGCTGTTTGGCTTTCTGCGACAGAGAGTGAGCTGACCAAAACAGAGAACGCGTACCTGGCTGAGCTGCACAGGCAATCGCCCAAAGAGAAGGCCGGCAAACAATCCACGGTGCGCCGGAGGAAACGGCCTCACACGCATCTGCGGGGGCCACACCTGGAGGAAGTCCTGAGCCCCGTCACCACTCCCACCGATGAAGAGGTTGTAGGTCGGATCAAGCGCGTGGCAGGTGAGGGGTGTGTGCGCGTAGAGCGTGAACGTTCCCTGGCCAACAGGGCAGGCAGAAGTCCAGCTCACCCAGCCATGGCTGGCGTGAGAGCCTGTAACAGGCTCCTTTGGGGAGGACTGGTTAACTTTGAGAAGGAAGTGGCTCTCCTGGAGGGTTGTTTCCATACAGCCACAGCCCGGGCTGACCCTTGGGACTGATTAATTCTCCTCGCAAGTAATGGCCTGTTAATCACTCTCCTTATGAGCCTAGCCCAGAGGTTTTAGTATCTATTGCCTCTGCAACTTTAACAGCTGGTTCCCTTTGCTCTGTTTGTGTGGCACAGGGTGGCTCCAATTTGCTGTTGTGACAGTAATAACGTCCCCCACCCCCAATAGCTCACATTCCTTCTGGAAGGACTCCCAAGTGTTTTCAGAGTTTAAAAGTACAGCCTGGGGTTTAATCTTGTGGAGCCAGGCTGTAGAGAGAGCCACGTTTGGACCATGGTGGCTGGCGCCCTTTGGAGGGTGGACTTCCCACCACCGATGGAGCCAGCCACGTCTCCTTTGTTACCCCAAGCCCTTCCTTTGCACCTCTCCAAGTATGCCGTGTACCCCTCTTGGGGAGGGGTGTCGGGGAGGGGGGGCAGTGCCTCGTCTGCCCAACAAGTGAGATCACCCGGGGGGGTTGGAAGTCAGCAGGGAAGGGCCTTTTCCTCCTGAGAGGGTACAACCAATGCTGTCTTCCAGGTTCCACTCAAACACGGCACATCCCCGAGGAAAGTCCTGCCGGCTTCCACCTGCAGAGCGTCTCCAAACTGCTGCTCATTATCAGCTGTGTGTAAGTCATTCTTTGTCCTCTTTGGCTTCTTTTCTTCTCGTTCTGTCTTTTATCACTCTTTCTCTCTCTCTCTCTGGCCAATTCCGTATTATTCCATTGTGTTTCATTTCTTTACCTAAAACAGGAAGGATTTGCAAAGATAATCACTGTTAAGATTAAGACACACACACCCAAATCACTAGAAATAATTCTTCCCTCAAATGGTAGACGTATTTGAAACCCCTTTCCAGTTTTTGTGCCCTTCCCTTCATCTTTCATTTGGTCCTCCTCTTTTGACATGGCTGTGCACATTCCTGAGTCGTTCTTGGTCCACAAGAGACGTTTAGGCAGGGAAGGGCTGCTATTCCAGAGATGAGAAGTAACGGGGATGGGTGGGTGGTGGAGGTGAAGAGGCAAGCAAGGAAGAACCACAAAAATAACCCCATTATGGAGAGGATTGAGAGCTGAGATCCCTGCTCACAGTAACTAAACAGGGAACCAGCATCCCCATGGGGAGGAGAGGAATAGCTGTTGAGAGATTTTGCAGGGATTTGACTTCATCACGTGTGCCATCCCAAAAGGAAAAAAAAATGCATGCTTTTCACTAATGAATAAAAATAGGTGCCGTGCACAAACATGGTAAAAACTGTGTTGTTGCTAGTGATGGTTTATACTTTGCTCTGTCTGGGCTAGTCTGAGATTAGGAATCCTTTTAAGCGTGCTCTGGTCCAACTTTGAAGGCAGTCCATAAGAGGCTGCTGTGCTATTCAGACTGAAAGAAAAAGGATCTCATGGCTCAAGACCCCCCAGCTCCAAACGCCCCTCACACAGGGTAGCTGAGCTATTTTGAAGAATCTTGTTCTCACTTTCACAAAAACTTTGCATTTGTTAAGCTGGAAGGGGAAAAATCAACTCTTCTGGTTCTCTTTCAGATGAGCTGATGTCTTGTTTGTTTTTGTTCTGTTCTGCTCTGTCATGAAATAACTCCAGAGGATTTGAGTTGAGCAGTAACATGGAAGGACTTGACAATTCACAGGATTTTCTTCCTATTTCCGTCAGTTTAGTCCCCAATTTCTCTCAGTGAAAGTGGGTAATGCAGGACGATTGGGTAATGCAGGAAACTTCTTTTTTCCTTGTAAGAATGTGAGAATCCAGATGCAAGACTGCCTTAGCTATTGGGCTTCCTTTGGTTCTGGATTTTTGTTTTGCTGGTTGTTGAAGCAGCTTAGCTATTGGGCTTCCTTTGGTTCTGGTTGTTTTGCTGGTTGTTGAAGCTGCTGCCAACACAGCGCCACCTGATGGTACAAATAGTCTCAAGAGAAGGCTCAGCAGACCATCAGTCTGAGCACACACTCTTCTGAATCTAACAAATAGGAAAAAGCCAGATTCCACAAATGGGATAAGTTTATGGTCCTTGTTTGTATGCCCTGCTTTAATTTAAGCATTGTTTTGCTTGTTTGTTCTATTCCTGGATATGACTGTTGTTGTGCAGAGAGGATCAGGAACTGGACAAGAAAGTTGTTGAAATTAGGATGACCTTCCATGAGAACCAGGAATGTGCCACAGGGGTGGGATCCTGGCTCCCAAGGGATACTAGCTGCAGAACATGCAGAATGAAGATGTCCTACATTTATACCCTCTGACAAGAGGCCTCTTCCACCTCTCACCTCCCTCCCTCTTTCTCTCTCTCTGACCTTCATTTTGTTCTTGTTTTTCTGTAGAAACGTAAGATTTTGCCCGACCATGAGATAGGTTTTCAGTGTAAATTCTTTCTCAGGATCAGGGTCAATGGTGTTGGGTGATCCTTTTCATGACGAGGGCTGTGTACACACCAGCACCCCGATCCCACCCCATCTCTGGTCACGCTGCTGTGCCACAGATGTTGGACGTCCTTCCTTTTCTCTTTCTCCCCATCTTCGCATGTCCTGCAGCCCCTCTCTCCAATGTGTGTATTCTGTGTCCTCTTAAACAACTTCCCCCTGCAGTTTTCTCCTGTCTCAACTCTGGTGTGCTTCTAATCTTCGCCTCCTCCATCTTTTTTTCTCCCCTGCTCCCATTAGGATTTGTTTCAGGTACTGTCTCCTTCTCTTTACCTTGCTTTTCTCTTCCCTGTCTCTCACTTACCACCCTCTGCATCCCAGCTGGTGGGTTTGTTTCTTTCTTTAAAACACTCTCTGCTTGGATTCTCTTCCAGCTGTGGCCTTGTCAGTTTCTTTCTGAAATTTAAGTGCTGGTCACCTCATTACTTTGCTTCTCCCCCTAAACAGAAAGCCTGTGGTTCTGCTTCCTGTAGAGTTAAATGAGGACAGATCTAGCTGTGTCTGCTCCTCATCCACTACCACAACCACCACCAATACCTGCATGTTGATTTTCTCCTGCTTCCCTTTATGAAATACATGGCAGTGCTTAATATCCTTCTGTTGGGCGGCCCTGGAATTTGGGAGGAGAGAGCAGCAAATGACAAGTGGCTTTTTTCTGTCCTTGGGGCTTTGGGCTCTCCTGCCCCTTCCTCTGAGTAGTTTCAGAAAAGCCAGAGGAAGGGAACAAGTCACACACAACTTGCTCAAAAAGCCAGTGTCAGTTCAGGTTCAGCCCAGTTGCTAACACCCTAGAACTACACATGTATTATACTTGAATATCAACAGCTGGGGACAGTGTCTTGTGGTGCAGTGGTTAAACTGCCCGAACTCTGCTCACAGCCCGGGTTCAATCCCAGGTAGCCGGCCCAAGATTCACTCAGTCATCCATCCTTCCAAGGTTAATAAACTGAGTACCCAACTTGGTGGGGATGGGGACAGTGTGTAGCCTGCATAATTAAAGTGTAAGTTGCCCAGAGAGTGTTTTAAGCAGCATACTTTGCTTTTTGGTCTGTCTAGGCCACAATGGTCAACTTTGGCAGCAGTTCTCCAGGGCATCAGGCAAGATTCCTTCCTAGCCGGACCAAGACATTTATTTATTTATTTATTCATTTATTTGATTTTTATACCACCCATTTGGCTGCCAACGCCACTCTGGGCAGCTTATAAACAGGGTAAAACAGTGGCATAACAACAACAATAATAAGCAAAACAAACAAAATATAAAAGGAACTAAACAAATTACACTAAGAAACCAAATAATAAAAGCATAATAAAATATAATAAAATAAAATCATGGTGGTAGGTAGGATGTTAGTTATTGAGAACACTATAGAATTAGGACCTTTTAAAATCTGGGAAGGCCTGTCTGAATAACCACGTTTTAAATAATTTCTTAAAAGTTCCCAGTGATGGGGACAGGTGAATTTCAGGTGGGAGAATGTTCCATAGTTGTGGGGCGACCACCGAGAAGGCCATATTTCTGGTTGACGTTTTTCAGGCGCCTCTTGGGGTCAGAATTCTCAACTGCCCAGCCTGGGAAGATCTTACAGGGTGGGCAGTTCTAGTCGGAAGGAGGCGCTCTGCCAGATATTGAGGATGGAAGGACCGTAGCTTAGCCTGCTTGTCTCTAATGAGTATTCTCTCTTTCTTCCTCTCTCCAGTCTGGTGCTTTTGGTAATCCTCAACATGATGCTCTTCTACAAGCTCTGGATGTTGGAATACACCACTCAGACCCTCACCGCATGGCAGGGCCTGCGGTTACAGGAAAGGTAACACACTCTGGGTACCATATACCATGTATCTCTTTCTGAAAGAGAAACAGATGCAAACTGGATCTCCACATTTTATATATTTTGGTGCTCAAATATTAAAGAACTCATCCATTTCTTAGGAACATAAATGCCGTACATAATGCAACCTTGATGTTACAGGCAGTCACTCTGCTTGGGTGTTTTTCATGGTATAAAATGAGTGTTGTTACATTTTATTCCCTTGTTAAAATAAATCCAACATTTTTTGTTGTTGTGCTTTCATAGATCCTCTTTGTATCTCTGTCCTGATAGGTTACCCCAGTCCCAAACCGAATGGGCCCAGTTGTTAGAGTCCCAGCAGAAATATCATGACACAGAGCTCCAGAAGTGGCGGGAGATCATCAAATCCTCTGTGCTTCTGCTAGATCAGGTAAAGCTGCATCCATTCTGGCCAATGAAGGTGTGGCCGACCTTGCGAAGGTATTTGCTGCATATAATCAGCCAACATTAAAAGTTGTTTTTCAAGACAATAGGGAGTGAACGTAGTTACTCACATTTTACAATGTTGAGGAATAACCATGATCATTTGAAAAGTTGGAAAGAATTTTTCATAATCAAGAAGATGGGAAAGCATTGATTGTAATGCTTTGGTTTGCTGAACAACTGATTCTGGAGCATAGCTTTACCATACCATTGGGCACTCCAGTGAGTTGTAGATTTAGACTGAAGCTGCTAGGCATATTCTGGAACGAGTGTACAAGCCTGTTGCCCCAAAGCTTCCTCAACTGTGAGATTAGTTCTTTCAAGGGAGGGAAAAAAACACCTTCAAGATTAATCCCTTTTATAATGGCATTTGTTTTTGTGGACTGCAACCACTCCTGCAGAGAGATGAAATGGACAACAGCACTGGTGGTTGAGGCACTCATTGCCCATCTATCTCTGATCCCTCTGTTAAGAGGCATGGCATGATGATATCCACAAGAGTATACTGTGCACTCACCTAGTATTTTGCAGGATTGTGGCTGTTTTCGTGCATTTGTGCAGACACACTGGCAAATACGCAGATCTGTGGGGGGCAAGGGTGTCTTTCTGTCGGACAGTTGCTATTTTGGGTGGTGGTGTGATTCCTCGTTATCTTGCAGATGAAGGACTCGCTAATAAATCTTCAGAACGGCATCGGATCCCGTGAATATCAGTCGGAGCCAGACGACAAGCGGAAACGGTTCTACTAGTAGGCAGGAACGCAAGCGGCCAGAGGACTGTGTGCAATACGTGTACATAGAATATATAT